ACAATGTTTGGCTGTCCAGACAAATGCTGCATAATCTGAATTTCTCTCTTGATGTCATCCCTGTCATTCTTGCTCACAAGTTTGCGCTTGAGGATTGACTTGCAGGCATAAGAGTGACCAGTAGAGTTCTCAGTGCACAAGTATGTGATGCCAAATTGGCCTCTGCCCAGTTCTTTGCCAAGAGTGTAGTATTGCTTAATGTCATCAAAGGGCTTCCCGAGAATGCTATTTGGTGGTGCTGCTGCTGGTTTAATTGGAACAGGGATTGGCTGCTGTGGCTGTGGCCTTGGCTGTGGCTGTGGTTGTTGTGGCTTTGGATGTGGCTGGGGTTGGGGTCTGGATGGTGGTGGTGGGTTGTGGGTTTGTTGGGCTGAGACTTTCAGAGGCTGAACCGCTGGCTGTGGCTGCTGATAAGGTTGGTGGTGCAAAGCACCACCTGTGGCTATGCCATACCCATTAGAACCCGGTTTTGGAGCATTTGCTTTGCTGCTAAAACAACCCATTTTCTGATCAGGACTTTGGTGCTGAATTTCAATGAAAGAAACCAACTTTGGAGCTGGATTTCTTGGGATTTTTCAGAGCCAATCTGAGACGATGAGAAATTAAGAGGGTAGGACAAGAAAGATGAAATGGTGGATGAGGGCAGGCAACCCAAAAATCTGATCTTTAAGGAATTTAAGCAAAAGACAGATCAAGTTTGATAGTTATTGAGAAAGTTGTGCGACCATAGTTTCGTCTACATAGAAAGTTTTGAATATTGCGTGTTGACGCGGAGCTGAATTTCAGTAGTCTAAAAAGAAACAAGAAAATTTGCTTTTCTTTCCGGGAAATTTGAAGGTGTGTGGTACCAATTTGTCGGGATTAAACAATTTCACCAAATATAAACCCAAACGGTAATGCTTTGAGTTATGTAAAGATTTTAATACTAATTTTTTCTTCAACGGAATTTTAATGCCAATTAGTAAAGAAGTATAATTAATAAATTTTACTTGTATTGTAACTTGGGTTTGTGATAGTTTTCCTTTCGTTTTCATAAATCTTGGATTTTACCCTTATATTAACAAATCTTAGGCCCCATCCCCATGTGGCAGTTTCCATTCAAAAAGGAGATACCAAACCAAGGTCATTTAATCTGCTTTGCTAATTCACTTGGTAAGTTTATCAAGCAAATTTGCAAATACAAAAACTGAAAAAAAAAAAATCATTATATTAATTTTCCCAAGAGAAAAAAAACAATTATATCTATAAAAGAGACAGAAAATTGCGATTTTATAGAGTTTTTGATATTTTTGTATAGGCAATGTGCCTTAAACTCTAATTCACACAAAAGTGACTGCTTAGTTAGCCCCACCCACTGCTACATTTAGGATTTGCTATATTCTATCCTCTTCTCTTGCATAAAAAGATTGGCGTGTAAAAAAAGTTATCACGCATAATATGTTGTACATAAATATTATTATGCATAACATGTTGTACACAAATGTTTCTCCTTCTCTTAGGCTACATTCTTATTATTATCTTATCATTATTGATTTTCTCCGTTGAGGGCAAAGTTAGTAATTAACTACTTATTACAGCAGAGATGGCGGGCAGTGACCAAGTCCAAAAAGAAAATCATAGTTGGGATTGGAATTTGGACCCATAAAGAAGAATAAGATCATGATTTATTGATAGGCTAGGAGATTATAATTGTTGAGCTTGAATCTATGAAAAATAACAGTTAAAACTATATGATTTCACATTTCCATTATTATTTTCATTGCTTGAAATGGAATAATTTGGAATTTTTTTTAGGAAGCAGTTGGCAGAAATGTGATTAAAATTAGTTTTTTTCGAGCATTCGCAATTATGCTCCTTATTTTTTTTAGTTAAAAATTAGCTAAAACACACACAAAAGCTATTTTAGTAACTCTCTATAAAATTTGAACTCCAATCATACTCCTTAGTTTAGAAGTCATAAATACTATAATTATTTTTTAATTCAACATAATTGGTCCATTTCTATAAAAATTAATATTAAAAAATAGTTAGCATTAATTTAAAGTTTAAAATATGCATAAAACAAAATAGCATTAAATTATAAGGAGCCATAGTAATCTTCTTGTATTTAGGAGATGGATGGGGAGTATGTTGGAGTTGTATTTTTCTAATTCCTCTAAAAATTATCTAAAAGTGTGATTTAGAAAGCTCGTTACATTACAGATGCTCTTCGTCCCATCACTTTCTCTCATTTATTATTTTATTACCCCATCTATGTATGTTCATGTTCTGTCGTGCTGTTTTAATCTCATTGATTCCACGACAAACAAACAAAAAATCAAAAAGAGAAAAATCGTGTGGATTCATTTTTGGTAGCCGTACACGTGTTGAAATCAAAACCAAACCAAACCCAGGTGTTTCACGTGCCCAAGAGACCGACCTCTAGACATAAAGCTTAATGATGGGTGCTCCTCTCCTCTTGGGTTAGGTAGGTTTGTGCATGTATATTATGTACCTACGACTTTGAAAAACTGGACCCCCACACATCTTAATTATCAATAGGGAATGTGTTTGCACTCGCTCTAGTATTACAACTAGAGATTACATTCCATGATACACTTTGCAGCCCAAAATCTGATTCTGGCTCCTCGTTGAACGGGAATTTTGCTACGGTCAATCGCTCAGAAAACCGAAGACGTTCCCTAATTCAACAAATTTGGGGTTTAGTACTATTCTCTTGTACTCTTGGTGTCAACAATTCACATGCAGTCAGTCTGTCACCTACTAGTCCTACCATTCCATTTTCTCACCAGCACAAGTTATCCTACGTAATAATCCTCCCATCACAGCAAATGCACATTGCATATGAAGAAGGCCATCAACTCGTACAAAATGCCAATCCCACTCTGCATTGGGCTTCGGTTTGTGGTTCAAGTTGGATTTTTCTTTTCAATAAAAGCCCATACAATGTAGAGAGAGAGAGAGAGAGAGAGAGAGAGAGGACTTTTACCCAGCAATTGTTTGAATAATAGAAGAGCATGGATGTTTATTTTTAAGTAAAGAACAAAGGAGGGCGGGGAATAAATGCCGGAATTGCATATTAAAAAGAGTCAGAATTAGAAAATATGGACAAAAAATGAGGAGGCCCGCCCACTCCCAGGAGCGAGCAAAACCAGATGCTTTTAGTGGAAGCTGATGGATAGTGGGACAGAAGGGCAGGACAGGTTGACAAGGTCCAAGCCAACGAAAATGCAATATTTACTGTGGGAAGCGGATTAGAAATTTATAAGGAATGATGGAGCAAGAGGTTTATAGCTTAAATACCTAATAACAATAATAATGATCTCTCGAGATATAGTTCAAATAGTTAAAGTAGTTACGCTTACACTCGAGATATTGTGAATCTACTTCTCACATTATCGCTTGTATAAATTTTATTTATTTTTTATAATAAAAAATTGGATGGATGGCAATGCAATGGCATTGTGAAGTTGAAGCATATATAAGTGTATGGTATATGGGCTAAAACTTTTTCAAGAAAAGGACGCAACTCTTTTTTATTGCCTCTCTCACTCATGAACTCACAACTCACAGGCTACGAGAGCCATTGGTTTCACCTTTGTCTTTGTGCTATTAAATCACCTTTGTCTTTGGAAATTTGGATTTAACACTAAGCTTTGGATATCAGTGGCCCCCCGCACCTTATGCTCCAATGCTCACCATCATCATCATCAAACTCTTATTTTCTTTCTTTTTAGATTCCAATGCTTTCTTCATGCAATTGACACGACTTTGAAAATATGAGGTGGATGAAATGAAACCACATACCATTGTGAGATATTTTGTTTTATTTTCATTTTTAACACTAATATTATACTATTTAATTTCTATAAACAAACTATAAATAAATAAAAATCCTACAGCCAGCTGTCTTATTTTCTAGTTTACTTAATATACTAATTTCTGGTTTTATTCTATTGTTTTTTAGTGTTTTGGGTTTTTTTTTTGGTGAGGTTTTGAGGTTGGGTTTGTTTTACAAAAATCAACTGTAGTTTTGTAAATTATAAGATGTTCAAAACATCTTTGTTATGTTGTAAATGGGTTTGGGTGTGTTTCTAAAGTTCATTTCATGTATGATTTTTTTTATAATTTGGGCTCCTATATTGGACATAGTAGTGAAACTACCTAATTTTATTATTAATTGTTACTAGTAGGAAGACCTGATTTTAGTCAATTTTTTATTGTAAAGGGTAAATAATATAGCCATTAAATTATCCATATATATATATATATGTGTGTTCATTTCATGTATGGTTTTTTTTATAATTTGGGCTCCTATATTGGACATAGTAGTGAAACTAACTAATTTTATTATTAATTGTTACTAGTAGGAAGACCTGATTTTAGTCAATTTTTTATTGTAAAGGGTAAATAATATAGCCACTAAATTATCCATATATATATATATGTGTGTGTGTGTGAGAGAGACTATGAAAAAAAAAATTGGGTATCATGTTATGTGATATTATTAATTTATGTGTTATTATATGTATAAATGATATTGTTGGTTTTCGCCGACTTAGCATATTAATATAAATAAACAAACACACGATTGTAGTGTGACAGTAACACAAATTTAAAAAACAAAACAAAATTCAATAAATAAGATGGTAAACTACAAGATTGCACTCAATGACATTATTATTTTTCATGTTCAGTTTTTGATTAAATTACCACGTATCCTCAAATTTTATTTAACTCAAAGAATGACATTTAAAAAAGGCATCTAAACCATATTGCTGGAAAAGCCTACATAGTTTATCAAGAATTGAGGAAAATATGAGCTAAAAAATTTCATAAAACAATATTCTTGAAAGTTGGCAAAGTTTCATTAATGTAGTGGATTGGAGTAATTGTTCCCCCAAGTAAAGTTTTGGGTTTAAATTCTAGCATCCGTATAACATGTGTGAGTTTAATATTTTTTAAAAAAATAACAGGAGGCTGTACCTGAAGCTCATAAATTACCAAATTATATAAGACAAATTGATTTCCAAAATTCAACCCAGGACAGAAAAAGACCAAAGAAGGAACTCAATACAATCCCCAGATTCAGAATTCAAATGTTTGGGCAAATTGGGCTCACTCGCAACCGAGGCTATTAACTCAGCTGAATCATTGCCCAATGCAAAAATACCATTTCACAACAATAAGATTAAAATCTCCACTACGACGTCTTCCCAAATCCAATCATTTTTAATAATAAAACTCCCTTCCTAATCCTAACACTAATCACAATTAACCATCAAACCCGGTCCGGCTCCACACCGCGTCCCTTACCCGCCGCATGTCCCGGCCCTTCAGGGTCCGCCCCACGCCTTCGAAAACCGACGTCGCGCCGCGCGTGTACTCACGCGCTAGGTACTCGTGTGGCGGGATCATCTCCGAGCCATTCCCATCCAACTCCTCGTCCAACTCGTACAGGGAGTCCACCGAGTCGACCCGGAGAATCTTGCTCCAGTCCGGCACGTTCACGGGAGCTGACGTGGCCATGTGGTGAGCACGTGGGGACGCCACGCTGTCGTGTCCGCGGAACTGGTGCACGATCCTAGGTGATGACGCCGTTTTTCCTGAATCGTCAAAAGCCAATGACAGGCCACCCACGTTGCCATCTTCCCGCGCAATTCGGCGGCTCCTCCTCGACGAGACGCCCCCGTTTGTCTCAGCGGAGGCGCGTGGGCTCCAATCTCCGTGCGAATTCTCGATTTCGGGGTCTTCCCTTTCGTCCACGGTGTTCACCATCGACCAGACGTCGTCTTCGCCGAGCTCCGGCGAGTCATGAGCGTGGCTGTAGCTGCTGTAGCTTCCGAGCAACCGTTCGCTGCGGCTCTGCGTCAGTTTCCGGCCCTTCGCCATATGTCATAATCAATCAGATTCCGAAGACGGAATCAATAATTCCCGGCGACCCAATTAAGGAAAGGAAAAAACCCACGAAACCCAATTTCACAGCTCCATTGAAATTATTTATTATATTGGCTTACGCATAAGCTGGGTTTTGGAGGGCTGGGCATGTATATATATAGAGAGGATTTCCATTTGGCAAGGCCCCCACAAGCAAACCCAATAATTCATTTCATTTGCATTTGAGTCTCATTTTGTCCGCATTTCCTTATGAGCTCTCTCTCTAACAAGATGCATGGTGGTGTGGTATTAAAAAGACGCCGCAAGTTCACAAAACTGTAAAAAATAGTGAAATTCCAATGGAGTCATTCATCCATTACACGCGCTTCCATCAGCACGTGTGGACCACTTGCCTATCTAGCGTGAAACTTTTGTTTTTGGACGAAATACTTGATCTTGATACAAAATCGTAAGAGGAAAGCTAATGACAGTTGTGCACGTGCACCTCGATAAATAATTGTACGGTATTAAAGTACAATAATGTAATATAATTTGTATATATATTATAATATAAGTGCATGATAGGGTTACAATTTCTCACTTTTAAGTATAACATTAGAAAACATAAATTTTTATCATAACAAGAGAACGAGTTATATCACGTACTCATACTTATGCACTATACTATAATTACTCATACACCTCATAAAAGTATCAAATAATAATATTTAACCCGTTAATATACTGTTAATTAAATAATTAATAAGTGATTAAAAACATTTAACATTGTATCCGAGATTTTATTTTAGGTTATTATGTTTTTTGTTATCGGTTGTACATGAAAAAGAACTAGAAGGAAAAATGAAGTTAAAAAAAACTCAGCAATGGAGATTGTTAGGAACGCGCTCTTATGTAAAAATTCAAAGTATCCATCCACCACGTCGGTATTCCCCTCTTCACAAAACGGGGCCCTAACGCCAAACCCGTCTTGTTTGACTACGTCAAATGACAAATGCATATAATAATCAACGTGGGCACGTCCTCCTCTGAAAACCCACCACGTGGGTGCTTCCAACATCTGCGGGTCCCGCTTCAAGGGTCTCAGTCCATGCCAAGTGGATGAACAGTTATCCGCTAAATAATTTGAAGAAGGAAAAATAAAAGGTTTAGGATGTTGTGGGGGGGTGGCTAATGATGGTGACTAGAAAATTAGCCTCTGCATAATTGATGGTTTAGGAGGTAATCAGTTTGGGTTTGTGGTTAAAATAATCCCCACTTGGGATAGAAAAGCAAAGTCTTGTGAAGGCCACATTAGACGGTCCAAAATAACAATAGTGGGGTGGGGGCCAACAAGGACTTGTCGTTTGTGAAGTAAACAAGTGAAGCCTTATCACACTAATCATTTTCCAAGATTTCACAATTTCCACAATCCAATGGCCCAAATTCAATGGATTAAGCTTGATATAGTTAGTAATGGAGTTTTATGCTTGAATTGCTAATTGGACCCAATATATGCTTGAGATTATAAGAAGTAATTGGATTCAGCTGGCCATATTATTGTCCCGTCAAAAATTTTGGAGAGCGCTAACGCTTTGTGTATGTATCATGGATGGACGGTGTCAATTGTTGATTGGCTTAAGTTATGTTCTTGATGAATGATTGATGTATGTAACAAATGAATGCACAGTTGGCATTAGGTTACATAATAATGTACGGACAATTACAGTTGCAATTGTTGATCAGCTCATAACTGCAAGTTGCAGTTGTTATCCAGTTGGGACTCTAAGAACCTTGGAGGATAATAAAAGGATAGGGTTGATATTTCATGTTTCTCTCTCAAGAGAGGACCCCTCTCCCTTTTGTGAGGACCCCTCACCCTTGTACTGGCCTCATTGTGTGGGATTCTGTTGGGGGACCTGGGCTTTCAATGACCAAACATTAGCTGGGACCCGCTAGCCATTGGGCCCATGGATGATGGACCAATCAATATTGCAATCAAAGTATCCTATGCTATCGCTTGTTATGCATGTCAGCTCCACCAGATCAAAACTATAAAATGATCCATCGGTTAATAATGAATCACTAATTGATCCATCGGTTAGTAATTTTGAAGTGTGGCGCGGTGATTGTGTGCATGTGCCGCAGGACTACTATATTGTGTATAAACCGTCCAATAAAATAGGAACCTGTCGAATCCGCAAGATCAATGACGGCAATAAAAGGGAAATATTTTACAAGTACTTGCATGGACCCCACCACCCCCATCACCACTGTTTTTAAAAAACACAAAAATTATTATATCAAGCTCCATATTACGTCATGCGTACAATGAACCATCTTCGATTGATTGCCAAAAGCAATTATTTTTTCGATACAAGCGAGATATTAGAGATTAGAGATTAGAGAATCGAATTTAGGACTTCGAATGTAAAGATAAATGCTCATAATTACTTGAGCAACAAGTCCCATGCAAATTAGTGCGTTGGTAATGTATGTGTGTCAATTATGTAGAATAAGAATCCCAACTGCTACTTAATTACAAAAATAAAATAAAATAAAATATAAAAACCCTCTGCTAAGCTCAGTGTTTAGCATATGATCTGATGGTGGCAAGATGGGTACTTTATAAAATTCAATTTGGGATTAAAATAAATGGATCCAGAGAATCACAAGGCGAGGAATGAATGATTGTACTAAGGTGAATCATGGGATATTATTTTATTACGAATATGTCAAGAAAGTCACCCCTCTATTTTAACATGAGATTCTTGTATATTGTACTGACATAAAATTATATATATATATATATATAAAAGGAGAAGTATTATCAGAGATCTTTTGTTGGAGGTTTTGTCGGGTAGCAAAGGCTTTGTGTTGTCAGGTTGGCCAAGAACATGTTCTTCTTGCACCAGATACTTCGTAATATTTTGTAGTTGCAGCAAACACCTCTGTCCGTGCAGAAAAATTTACTTATAATGGGGATAGCAGCACTGTTTTATAGTCTCCAACCAATAACACAATAACACAATGATACGGGAAAAGGATATCTCACGTATCATTGTATTATTGGTCGAGGATAGTAAAAAGTGTTATCTCCGTTGCTTGAAAATCTTTCTTCTGTTTGTGGGGGCTCCAATTAAAATTTGTCCATTTTAATTTTAATTTACCCTTTTCTTGATTTGATTCTTTTCTGAAGACACCAAATTTGATCGTCCCTTTTTGTTTTCTTGCAGGATTTTCATCATCTGCACTGCACATGAAGAGCTGTAAAGCTAAGAAGAGTGCAATTTGTGTGACCCTTTTATACAAATTTTTTGCTTTATCTTGTTCTGTTTGGTTTTGTTGACTAGCATCCACTCAATCTTTGTGACGTTCTGCAACTTGGCGCTCCAGTTTGAGTAACAAGTTGCATGAATTACCAAAATCCCAATTATATAGGTCCTTTAGGTCTGCAATTTTTGCAGCAACATCCTAGCATGAATTATTTTTACAATAATATTTGATGACATTTTCAACTGGGTTGTAAAATTTTAGAGGGATCCAAATTATAAAAAAAGCTACATGAAATGAACTTTAAAAACACACCCAAAACTCATTTACAACATAATAAAGAGGCTTTGAACCCATTGATTTCTTAAAACAAGCCAACTCCAAAATCTCATATAAAAAAACTCAAAACACTCAACAGGGCATCAAAGTAATTTAATAATCAAAATTAAATTCAACAGGGTCATCATTTGTTGGTTTTTTTTTTTGGGGGGGTTTGTTTATAGAAATTAAATGGTGTAGGGTTAATCTATATCACTAGTACTAAGAATGGGTATATAACTAAATATCTAAAAAAATTAATTAGGGTTAGGTTAAGAAGATCATTATTTTGCGAAATTATTGAGGCCAAGTTTGGTTTGGAAGATTGAATATCAAATATAGCTATCATCCAGATGGAGATGGAGGAGGGAGGGAGGCAAATAGAGGTCACAATCAACCCTTTTTCAAGAAGGAGCTCACCACAAAAAAGAAAAAAAAATCAATGCCTAATATTTCTTGTTAACATTATTGTTTGGTTGTTTGGTTGGCAGCAGCAAGCTCAGCTCAGGTGGCAGGCCTTTGTTTCTCTATCCTTATGCATCAATCAACGATTAGGAAGGACCGATCGTTTTCTCTGGTTTGAGTTGTTACAATCATGTTGGGTCAGCCATGGCTTCTCTGTCATGTGCCAGTCCAAATCTAATCCCCCTTGAGGATTTCATTTTTTGATATATAAATTTAATCTCTTTTTTTTCCCCATTTTTCATGCTATTATCACCACAATCTCAACAACCAGATTGATGCCAATGCCATGCCACTTCCTCCATGAAAGAGCCGACCACCAATATAGCAACCTTGATAAAAAATAATCAATCAATCTTCAACCAAATCACATTAGTTTATTATCAAACCACCCATTAGTTTTTTTTTTTTTAATCTTTGGTTGCAGTTGCAGATTCAATTTAGTATTTGTTTTCTGTCAATAATAGTTTCCCCACTCTAATCACTGATTGAAAATAATTGGAAGAATCTTAGCCTTTTTTTAATTCAAAACCTGAAAGGGGTCCTCTCAACAACAATGATTTCAATCACCTTGATGCAATATCTAAACCTTTGTTTCATCAGATTCAGAGATCATAACAGCCTTTAAATGGGGTTTCATCAAAACTTACACAGAGCCAGCATCTCCTACACAACACTGATGCACGATGCTGCTCAACTAAAAATGAACGGTTCGAATCATGAGATGATATTGTGGGTTGAGCGTGCATGTATAAAAACATGTGCGTGCATATATAAAAACACGTGAGAGTGGAGATTGGTATGAGGTCATTTTCATTCTTAGAGTAGTGTCCATCAAGTGGTACAAAGTTTGCTAGTTTTGTAATGACAGTTGAGAGAAAGTGTAGGCAGAGTTGAGGTTATTAGGAAAAATGGTCGTCCCACTTGCATGACATGTTGCCTAAGTCTGTGGCTGTGGCATTGGCGGCAACCCCCATTTCTTCATCAGGTCAGGTGGGAATTTTGTTTGTACAATCATTAACTCCAGGACTAGAAAAGCTCTTGTTCGGCCGAAACTCAAAGCATGATCAACCATCAAAATATCATCTTAAATCTTAATCTCTCTGTTTTTTTTTATAGGTAGGCCAATTATGTATTTGCCATGCCTGCTTCTCTTAATTGGTGACTACTTCAAAACCATTCATTCATGAGCATCTTGCTTTCTTTTTTGATGCATGTGTTTGTGGAAG